GGACCGTGTTGCAAAGCTGGCGGACTCATGACTACTGTATAAAGTATAAACTTAACACGAACATAAAGAATCACTTATATAGACCACCACCTGAGAGCATCATAAATATTATCTAAACGATACACATTTTTCAAACAATGTGTATAATTATTTTTAATCGATCGACTTAATAGTGTGCAAGTTATATTTTTTTAATATAACATTAGATTCTTCTCATAAAAAAAAAACGTTTCGTAATCGTAAGCGAATTGCTTACTTCGCCCTGATGTAAGCAATTCGCTTACGATTATTTCGTGTACGCCTATTTCTTTAGAACAACGTTTGCATCAAAGAAAAGGTTTTAAAGACCGCAATAGTAAAATATTTTGGTCTAAAAATCGATGTATAATAAAAATAACATAAAATTAAGTTCCATTTTATTACCTATTTATTATACCTATATGAAGCCGAAGTGGGCAGCTAATTCAGATTATTCAAAACAAAAATTAAATTATGTACATTTATACCTTCTACATCTAATAGCGAAGATGTCTATGATGACTGAACGTAATTTATTTGGCAATTATTTTTATTTGTATATGGTTCAAGGTAGAACATAATAAAATAAAAATAATAAGAATCTTAAAATACATAGATATATTGAGAATGATTTCAAACTTTATTATGCATCATATAAAGTTTTTTTATTATTACAAGTAATTTATGCAATTATTTATTATTAGTAATATATGCAAAAGCGTATATAATATAATAGAACATATGCGTAAGAGAGGTGCATAAGACCTATAATTCACTACATTATCGTAGTATAACATAACAGTTTATAACATTTCTAATTTAACTTGCATTCTATTGTACATACATATATCTATCTTATATGTATATTAGAATGCAAGTTATATAATAGTTTATTATTTATTGAGTCATACTATCTGCTGTGTTTACGACTACACCCGTGTTCGTTTCCTATATTAGGTAAATATTTAGCCAACTACAAAAGGCGAAGGTTATTTCATTCTATTGTATTCTATGTTTTTGGGTTAACATTACATATTAAATATTACGTCCTCAAAAATGTATTTAAATATATGTAGCTGGTATTTTAAAAAAATAAACAGTTTTTAGTTTTTGTCCATTTTTTTTATTTTGGTAACTATGGATCAAATTGGTTTGTTGGTTTATTTATTCGATAGCTTTGTTACCTATTTATCCGATAGGTTTGTTACCTACCTTCGAATAGGAACTATGATTGAAATTGAAATTGATATGATTGCAATTGAAATTAAGATTCCTTCGGTGCAATGCATGATTGATTAAATTGTATGATATTTTTGTATTAATAAATTTCGTGTTTTACTTCCTTTTTCCGTTATTGTCTACCTGTTCTATGTCGACTTGGTTATTGCCTTGAAAAGCTTACTTTTAGCAATAAGGCCGCCTTGTTACACGTTACATAATTGTTGTATAGTTAATTAAGTAATGCTAAAATTTTCATCACGGATTTGATGTTATCCGTGATGAAAATTTTAGCCGGAATATTTGATTAAATTCAATTATAATTCAATATTTGTATGAAATACAATACGATCAGTAGTAATAAGACAAGGGAGAGTATTTAATATTCTACACTAAGGGCTTGCAATCATTTAAGGTTTTTTAACAGGATTATTTTATGTGTATTTGTTCTAATCGTACAAATGTATTGAATTTATAGTAGTGATTTAGCACACCGTCTTACTGCCGAAGTCCGCGGTTTGGGTTTATTTTCATGAGTATGACTGTTTGTATCGGTATTTTCTATGTTTATTATCTATGTATTTACAAAAAAATCTATATCATAGTATTTGTATCAGTTGTCTAGTATCCAAGGTAACACAAGCCTATATAGCTTGGGACTAGGAGACGCGTCAAGGGTTACTATTATTATTATTACTATATTGTATGAATATAAACGTGTGTAGCACAAAAGCCAAAGGTTTACACTCAATATCATGTCGCAAATAGCCTTACTTGATGTACTCAACCATACATAGTAGGTACAATGATTGCTTTGTTGATTTACTTAATAGAAAAGAATTTATACTCAAATGTATGTATAACTCAAATGGCACCTTTGACACTTCCGTAAATGCATACCATGCATTCATTCTATTCCTATAAAAATGTCATAAAACCGTTGTGCATATCTGTTCCTTGTAATTATTAATTAATTATATTTGTATAATAATAATATAACTAAAAGGAAAGAACTAAAAAAAATGTATTACCATTCCCCAAGTACGGTACTACCTAGACTGAGCTAATTTAAATATGTATTCTTAGTTTTAGGAACCCGCCTCACGAGGCTGTCAACCCAGTTACCCGGGGCTTGTCGCCCTCAGATTCAATGCGGGCGCATAGGGCTCGGCCCGAGGCCCCAACCTTCACCCCCTAGGTCATGTCATGTCTATTCTATAAAAATGTCGTAAAACTGTGTTGCATGTTTACAATTTACGTTCCTTGTAATTGTATATTTATATAATAACTAGCTTTGGCCCGCGGCTTCGCTCGCGTTAAGTTATCCCCTTAGGGGTGGAATTTATCAAAATCCTTTCTTACTACGTCATAAAATCTACCTGCATGCCACATTTCAGCCCGATCCGTCCAGTGGTTTGTTTAACTGTGTGTTGATAGATCACTATGTCAGTCACTTTTGAGTTATAGGTATATATTTAGATAATATAACCTGCGCAAAACGCACTGTAAAAATAAATACAGTAGGAATACTTTGTATAAATGTGTCTAAAATAAGACGACCTTATATCAGCAGTCTCTTACAGATAACCTGGAAGAACCTAATAATATGTAGCGCTAAGTGCATTATTACCGTGTCTGCAGGTTGTTATGTTGCTGTTATGTTGTTGATCAGAGTTCAATTTATCGCGGTAATTATTGTATGTATATTATTATTGTAGTATTGTATATTATATATATAGTATTATAATAAAAACTAGTATAAAGACATAGTTGTGTTTTTACAAATCAGAATAGGTAACAACTGAATCGTATATTCTAAAGTCAGTGCTATAAATGTTTTGACCCAAAAAACTGACTAGATAGGGACCTACGATTCCAAACAAAATTAAAGGAATCTTGTAACGATGTTGGAATTGTTTATCGTTAAGGCGACGCATCGCAAATATTGACCTCAGAAACCTTAAATTTTACAGCAATTACAAATCCTTCGGGTCTGATATTTAGGTATTTCATTTTTCAGATCTTTGACATCATATTTACAATTCTCGTTACATGATTGATTAACTTTTGTAGCAGAGAAAAAAATGACACAAATGGTCTTATAAAATATATTTTTGATTTGTATAAGAAAACGGAACTGATTGAAGACCCGAATTTTCCAATATACATTATACTAAATACACACATAAATAGTACAATTCAGATGTATATAATAACCAATAGTTTTTATTTTAAATAAGATAAATTGTTTTTCTGCAAAAAATCTCTTGCTCACAAGTTATTTTGTATGAGAGTTAGACCAGTCAAGAGAAGGAGGGATTGATAGTATGGGATCTAATGAAGTAATGAACCCATTTGATAAATACAGTAGTCACATATACATATATATTGATTAAATAAATAAATATATTCAAGCTATATTATATTACACAAAAGTCTTTCTATCAACACTTTTTTATCCTTATATATTTTTCTTCTATTTATCACACATACTTATAATTCATCCATTTAACTGATTCTTCATTTTAGATATTTAAATTCATCACCAATGCTATTTCTTTTTTTCTTTTTTTCAAGTGGCTCCACTGAAAATCAGCGCTGTAGTGACACGCTGCGGCACCAGCTGAGTGGAAGCCTTTTCAGCATAGACGATTATTAGTATTTAAGTTTTCTTTTTTACTCTGTACTCTTTTTTATGCTGAATAAATGATTATTATTATTATTACTTCTAGTAGTGTATCTGCTGTTACGTTGATTTTCACGCGGGCCCTTTGTAAACCATTGTAGTTATTTTCTGCTAAATTTATCAAGTGTGCTAACCAGACTTGATTTATCCTATCATCCTCTACTACTACCCCGTTAGCTAAAACCGTTGGTGCGGGTGTACCATTATATTATTTGGTGGCAGATATATATGATAGAAATAACTTCGCAGATTAATTTTTTGCACTAGATGCATTACAAGAATTAAATTAATTGAGTAATAGATAGTTCAGACGACAATCATTGTGTAGAGGAGAAAAGGCAAGTTCAACAAAGTTAGGTCGAGCTAGAATAGAATAGTAAAAACGTGTAACATTATCGCCAATCCTATCGTTTCACTGCTTGTTGACAAAACTTGAGCTTAGAATTTGTCATTTAAAGATCACTTTAAAACCCGTAAGTTATAATAGAACTCAACAAGCTTATGTTATAATAGCTGATTTATTTTTTACTGCTTTAAAATGCTATCCTAATATCTAATAATAATTAGGTACTAACAATATTCGTTGTTCATGTTGATATCAAAATTTTATCAATATTTTAAATAGTCATCGTGAAGTATTGATTAGTGTTTGTTGTGTTTATTAATGCGATTACGTGTGATTTATATATTTTACAATATTCAAATTAAATTATTTTTTTATTCCTACTACGTTTATCTATGGTTGATTTATAATAATATTTTTCTTTATCTTAAAATACTGCATATGGGTGTTTGATATAAAAAAACTATACAAACAGTCTAACATTATGAACAATCGGTAATTTTGAACATATATTGTATGTTTTTAAAACTTTTATTAGACAAGTAATTCTTCCTTCAAACATATTTAAAAAAAGTTTTACAATATCTTATTATAATATATTATTTGAACTATTATTTTTATAATTATTATTGTACCTTACTAAATTGTTATTACCTATTACATATGAAATTTACGTTATTAGTGAATAGGTTTTCACACGATTTAACAAAACAAATACAGAATAAAAAAACTTACCATTCATTTTGATAATCGTTTCGTCCTTCTCGATTACTGGCTCTTCATTATTTAAAATTGTATCGATAATTACGTCCGTGTCGTCGTCTATATCGATGATATGCACATCACTATTTTGCTTTTGGTCCACGTGTGCCTCCGCAGGCGTTGACATGTCAACTGCGTTTAGAATGTTTGTCACTGAATGGTTTTGATAACAAAATTGTTTTGTTATGTGCTGTAAACAAAAATACGATGCGTATAGAACGTGCTTGCTTATAATATTGTAAAAGACTACGGTGTAATATTGGAAAAGTGAGGATTAGAGTTAATGATGGTCAAGTGAACGTAACAACTACGTTTATGGTTATAGTGCAGTGGCGAGACAGTTGTTTTTATTTTTTATATTTTACTTTCTAGCGCATTCTTGCATCTTGTTTGATACTGTGGTGTAACTATTAACGCATGGTACTTCCTTCAGTAGTCAACAGCGTTAATTCAAAGTATTAAAATTTACATAACAAAACTTCGTCGGTTATATAAATGAAGTTCCATTGTCTAATTAAAATAATAATAACTTTTCAGGGCTATTCACACTATGGAATCTAGTTCTATTCTAGCTATTATAAATACATACATTTATTGTTGTAAATACATAATATAATATAAATAACGGTAGGGACGGTAGGGCAAAAAATTATAATGTAAATTTGACGTTCATAAGCGGCTAAAATGTCCTACATGAATAAATGCTTTTTGAATTTGAATTTGAATAGAAAAACACTCAAACCTATACAAATAATCATACTCATAAATATACAATGTTTTTTTTATTTAAACCCGCGATCATCGAAAGCAAGCCTGTGTGCTAAAACGTCAGACCACTGGGACCGTCAACATTATAATACTTTTTAAATAGGTAGATATATTATATATTTTAACTAAGTAGGTATAACATTTAGCTGCTATGACGTTAGTGCTTGTATAACTCGCAAAACAGTGAACAACAATTCTAGAATATTTGCGTTTTTATTTTAATATTAATATGAAGTCATTTAGATAAATATCAGACTGAGCCGTACAGTAAGTAATAATAAAACAAGATTCTGGTTGAAAAAAAACTAGTATAGTGTATGCGACTCCAAGACAACAAGAGGCTTCTGTCATTCTGTGCGTGAATCGAAATAGAAATAATATATTTACCTTTAGATTGGTATTTTTTCTACCTCTCATTCTGGGTGCACAGAGAGATAGAGGTAGAAACTTGTATGTTGCATTTTTAAACAGATGTTCTTCTGTTTAACTTTACACGTTTCAGATTTTGAGTATGTTCCACCGACAAGAGCCCGGCTCTTAAATTATGCATAAATGTGTATATAATAATCACGTTTATTTGTCTGAAATAAAATTCTATTCAAGGGAAGGGGAAGGGCATTGCTACTAATATGGACTGTGGACCCCACTGCTAGCAATGTACCATGTCATGTTGACCTCTATATGGTTACCACTGGAAACCATCAAGACAATTTCCTGGTGAGTTTGTCAAGATGTGTTAACTAACCTGGTCTCATGTTTATTTTATCATCCTCCAATAATGTCCAGCAAAAACCCCATTCGATTGAACCTCGTATAATTTAAACGGGAATCGAAAATACGATGGCTTGAGTCGAGGTCCGAATCGCTACTGGTGCCCTCAGATTAACTGCTCTATAAAACTCCTTCCGCATTTCCGCGTTTTTGGAGTGCCATCTGCACTCGCCCCCTATCGTTCGGGGGCTCTGAAGGCCAGCTGCTGTCAACAGCATTAAAGTAGTCAAAAAAAAAGCGTAAACCGCTAGCACAGACTGGTACCCCATTCCAATATCATACATTAAAAAATATACATCTCTTTATGACTATAAAGAGATGTATATTTTTTATAAAGTCGGCTAGCTAGTTGTAGGTATTGTTTACGATATGATACTTTGGAATGATTTGCTAAATTGTGTTATTATCCTAGCAGCAATGCATAATGGAGTAATTAGTGATAATACCTGATAATTATTGTGTGGGTACGTCAGTCCAGGTCATGTTACATATTCGTTTAGGTATGGTTACAGCAGGAAAAAGGAAACGCAACGTTACATAAAATCATACACCGAGAAGTAGGTGAATTTACGTTGAATGAGATCCTTGCAAGTAATAATACTATATCTACTAGTAATAGCTGTTCTATGTTCAGTACTATGTTATTATAATACTAGCTGCTATCTGCGACTTCGTTCGCGTGGAATTTATATATTTTTTTCATTAAAATAAATTATCATATACGTCATTGCGGAAGACGTCCAAATAGGTAAAAATTTTAAAATAAAAGAGCCTAAGTTACTCTTTATTATATTAGCTATCTGCGAGTAAAAGTCCTGCAAAAATCGGTCCAGTCGTTTTAGAGATTAACAAGAACAAACATACACACATTATTTATTAAATTAATTTATATACTTCTATATGCATTTAGTGAAAAGCAGTTGATTCGAAATTCCAAACACACACTTTAATTTTATGTATTGGTTTAGAACATGGGATTTATTTACGAGTAGTTAGTGTTTATCTACGTATGGGCCGAACTAAATACTATTTAAAGGACATCACATTTATCTATTTGTGTACAGATAATATAGTGAGTATCGAGTATTAATTCGATTTTAATTATTACATTTTCTATTAGTTTTAATATTATTATGGCTTCAAGGTGATATCACCTTAGATTATTGTTATTGGATTTTGAACTTTAAAGAACAGCAAACAAGCAGCATCATCAGTCATTATGTGTATTTATAATGTGTGGGTAACCGTACTACAAAAATGAGCGAACAGGATTTTATACAACAGACGGTATTTCGGCATTTAAAATACTTATTTTATTTTAAAAAACATAGGATGCCCAAAACGTTTTGATTTTATCCTTTTATCCTTATTAAGTGGAAAAGATTATGTAATTATTTTGCTTATTGGTCTAGACGGTCTTGGTCCAACAGTTTAGCTCACCGGTATTCTACCGATAATGCCGGTTTTGAATTCTTGCACGATACAAACATTTTGTATTAACGAGTATGATTGTTTATATTGATCGGATAATGTTCTATGTATATTATGTTGTTTGTATTTATATAAAATTAAATAGATTATTTAAGAATTTATGTAAAGGTACCAGGAAACTCAGTTTAATAGTTCTCTCAATAATATATATAAAGTTCAGCTTTATTAAAATGACGTAAGTTTATTTCTAAAATAGTATAGTTTAGGGGGGTCAGGCGGGGGGTTGGAACCACACTGAAGTGTCTGGCAATGAGCAGCGCAAGTTATAATAATGCTACGAACAATATATGAAAATATGGAGTTTCTTAAAATAACGAATTTGATATGAATTTTTTTACACCTTTGTTACCTGGTACCTGCCAAAGGAACCACGATCCAGGTTTCATGTTTGGGGATCGTTCTTACCTGTGTTGGGGACACACATACAAGAACTTTCACGTTTACTAAAATGACGTATGTCTGGCCGTCGTGGGCTCTTGCTCTCTGCTAAGTTTAGTACTATATAGATGGCGCAGTGTAAATTGGCCTGCGTTAATATTATTATTTATTAAAATTAACTAAACAGCATATAGTAGACGAATTTGTACAGCAGGAAACTGAGCAAGTTATAACTACAATTTTACAGAGAGATAAATTCCATTTCTGTATAGTTTGTAGTATTTTTCTCAGTAGGTCCATAGTTCATGGATTCACTCGCGTTCTATTGAATTGGGCTTATGAATGTTAGTAGGTAGGTAGTAGGTAGTAGGTAGGTAGTATAATAAAAATATAATTCCAAACAATTTGCGTTACTTGGCAAGACAAGCCATAAGGCCAAAGGGCAATAAGTTATTGTTCTGATGCCATAATTATGTTAATGGTTTTATTTTTTTGCTAGGTATTCTAAATCTTTTGTCAAATAAGATAAGTGTACCAATTATATACTACAATGGTGAACACATCTGATTGGTTAGTTTGGTGAGACATGCTGTCTGTTTGTGTGGTAAAACCGGATGGTCTTAACACGATGTTTGATGTAGATATATGTTTACATAATATAAAATGAAGTCGCTTCTTATGTTTTAAATTATGCAACGGATTTTAATGCTTTTTACATTTCATTCAATTTTTGCAATACATAGGGTGACTTTATTCTTAAAAGTTTTATATATTCATACATGTTCACCTGTGCGAAGCTTGGGCGTGTAGCTAGTTAGGTATAAATAAATAATCTTTATTCAAATAAAATAATATAAACACTTTTTTTATAGCTATTAAAATAAAGAGACATAAAAATAAGTTTGCGAAGTTGACACTATCCATAAATTATGCAATTTAGATTTTATTATATTGTAATTAAAATTATGACCGTTAAAGATGTTTAAGATTTTACATCTTATGTTTTTAATATGTTTATTTAATTAAAATCCTAATTTTATTAATTCTTCTGGAATAAAGAATAATTTTAAGGGTATGACAAATTTGAATATAAGTATATGTATAGAATCATGTTGGATTAGTACAGCCGAATGGACAAACAAAAATTCTAAAACTATTTTTATTCTCTTCGGTAACATCAGTGTGTACAAATTTATTGTTTTTAATATCGTTTACACGGATCGTTTATGATATTATTATAATGATGATATGATGTTGATGAAACACGTAAACATGATAGCCATAGATTATATCATAGTCATTTGTAAATGAAACTATAAACAATTTCAGACTACAGATATTTATGAATAGATTTTAATTTGATCGATAGGTTAATGATGGTTTGAGTAGATATTAATTTGAATTCGTCTATCATTCAATAATTGTATAAATTGAGAGTCTAAATTAAAGTTTATGGAGTTTTTGATTTATTTTTATTTCTTAAAATTTATAGAGTTTTTAATTACGAATTTATAAATAGGTTACGAAATTCTTCTTTATTATGTGTTTAAAAAAATAAAATTTAATCAAAATGGGGGTATCACATGAACAATTTAAATAAAGAAATAAAAGTAAATTTGTTTTCATGTTTCCACTTTATTTTTTTAAATATCTAATAAAAAAGAGAAATATCCCAGGCCGCATCGCATAATTATTTTAAAAATTTTGGTTTTTAATTATATATTTTTTAAACTGCATTTCATTCAGCTACTATGTATCTGTAACTATAAGCATTAGTGGTTGCCCAATGGTCGAAATTGGAGCATAATTAATTTAACATTTAGATAGACAAAAAATATTAATCTATTCTTCATTTGACCACAGATTTGAGCAATAAACAAAAGAATATATGTGCATATATGAAATATGTAGTAGTGTGTATAAAAAATACATTAAATCAATAAATAAAACATTCTATGTATTTATTTACTGTTTTTTTGTAGCACGGTTAAATAAAATATTAGTACTCTGCATTCCTTCTCTATATAAATTATAAGTGTGCGAACATACTCCTGTATGAAATAACGTAATAAGGGATACAAAATTTTGCTTCACGTATTAATATAGATTCTCAGTAGTTAATACATTTAATTACATTTATGCATCATCCTATATATTCTTATTGTAATCAATATTACTGAATAAACTATTCTCTA